CAAAGTAAAGGGCATTGCAGTAATCGAGCCGGGATGTGACAAAGGCATGAATTACTAACTCAAAGTGTTCATGAGAGAGGAGAGGTTTTACTTTGGCCAGCTGTCTAAGGTGAAGAAGCTGGACAACTGCACCCTGTCCCCTCCTCTCACTGTCACAACCTCGGTGTCCTTTTTGATAATAACCTCACGTTCGACCGACACATCACCCAAATCACCAAAACTGCTTTCTTCCACCTCAAAAACATTTCTCGTCTCCGCCCTTCACTTTCTTTCAACACCGCTCAAAACCTCATCCACGCCTTCATCACCGCCTTGACTACTGCAATAGCATCCTCTATGGTACAACCTCCAAACTCCTCAATAAACTACAGTACTGTACATCCAGAATGCCGCCGCCCGTCTACTCACCCACACCCGCACTCGTGATCACATCATCCCCGTCCTTAAAAACCTCCACTGGCTCCCCGTTCCACCGGCGTATTCATTTAACTCCTCCGACTCACCGATAAAGCCCTTCATAATCAGGCCCCCTCCTACCTTTTTGGCCTTCTTCACCAATACACTCCTTCCCACAACCTCTGCTCCTCAAACACGAACCTCCTCGCCATCCCCGTGACCAAGCTCAAAACGTGGGGGGACCGAGCCTTCTCTGTTGCCACCCCCACCCTCTGGAACGCTCTACCACAACATATCCGCAACTGTACTGACCTCCAATCCTTCAAATCATCTCTTAAAACTCACCTGTTCCGCAATGCTTTTAACACCTTTTAATTTCTTTTACCCATTTTTGATTTGTTTTGTTCATCTAAATGTGTTTTTTGTAAATCATGTATGCTTGTCTCTAAGTGTACATTTTAATCCTGTGTTTTAAGTTCTTGTAAAGTGTCTTGAGTATGATGAAAAGCGCTTTCAAATAAAATGTATGATTATTATTGTTATTATTATGACTAACAGGGTGAAGAAGAGGCAGGACATGATTGGAGCCTTCAAAGTAGAACCACTCTACCTCAGACATGAAAACCAGGAGTCAGGTAGGTTCATCTCACCTGAATTGGGGTATGTGCTACATTCAAAAATTGTCAAATTAGGTAAATTAGTCCACATCAGAAACCAACAATGCTGCTACGAGAAAAAAAAAATGGTGTTCAAATCAAATTCCTATACTGTACAACAACCCCCGGGCCGTGGACCGGTACCGGTCAGTGGGCCATTCGGTAGAGGACTGCACAGAAAGCATGAAGGAGATGTCTGATATTGGTCCATATCAACGAAGCAAACCGAAACAGACATTGCAATGACACATTGGACAAGGCTACCTAATATTTCGGAGTAAATACATCCATGTATTTGCGGCCTTATACATCCATCCATTATCCAAAACGCTTATCCTTACGAAGATCACAGGTGTGCTGGAGCTTTTCCAATCTTCTCTGGGCAGTAGGAAGGGAACACTGAACTGGTTGCCAACCAGTCACATGGCACACATTGACGAACAACTACTCGCACTCAAAATCAAATCCAGGCACAATATAGAGAGTTCGCACCATGCGTGTTTTTTGAACGTGGGAGAAAACTGGCGTGCCTAAAGAAAACACACACAGGGAGGACATGAAAACTCACGGGAATATATATTTACATAAACTGCTAAAAAAAATTGATGGGCACACTTTAACAGCATAATGAAACTCCAAGTGTTCCCTTTATCACCTTGCTGTGATGCGCCACTATAGGTTACTCAACTCAACTCAACTTTACAGAGCACTTTCACACAGCCATCGCTGCATGCGAAGTGCTGTACATGGAGCAACTAACATACATGCAACAATAAATCAGGAACAAAATGGTAGAAAGCACCAAACGGTTAAATTAAGATCAAATCTGAGTCATGCTGAGTCAAAGAGTAAAAGTGAGTTTTGATGCGGGTTTTAAAGGTGGGCAGCCCCCTCGGCTTGCCGAATGTTCAGTGGGAGCTCATTCCAGAGGGAGGGACCAGCAACGGAAAAGGCCCGATCCCCTCTGAGCCTCTGTTTAGTTCTTGGTACTTCTAATACTGTCTGGTCCACAGACCTGAGGCGCTGGGCAGGTGTGTAGGGGCGGATGAGCTCAGAGAGGTTGCAACCAGGAGCGGCAGATTTTACAGCAGCACGAGATAATCGAACCCTTGACCTCTGCACTGTGAGGCAGATGTGCTAACCAGTCGAACACCGAGCCACCCTACTTTTTTTAATTCTTTTTTTTTTAATATTGTTTTTTTTAATTTTGTGAACGTGAAACTGACATTATGCTTAGGGTGCAGTGGTACACTAACACAAAAATCTATAATATTAACAACACATTGACACACTATTTGTTTTCCCCATCCCCCCCCCCCCAACCCCCACGCGGACTTCTGGTCTACCGCGATCGACTGGTTGGGCACTCCTGGTTTAGAGGATAGATGATTAAATAAACCTTAAAATAATCGTGAAATATGGAGGGGTGCACAATAAAATAAGTTGGGAGTTCTTATACCAATATAGAGGATAATACTTTGACCCAAACACACAGACAATCCACGCTCATTTGCTGTAAATGGACAATGTTTTTTCACTACAGATACTGAAACATACAAGACATTCAACAAGATCCTATTCTTAGGCAACTCGAAATGAATGAAGAAGTGGGACGCCCAACAGATAAGTGTGAGAAGGTAGTAATGATGAGTCTTGTGACAAGGGCAGACTTCATGAAATGAACAAAATTTCATTTTGCATTCATTACATTTCGTATGCAACAAAGTGAAGCCCTCATGAGTTGCAAAGTCAGCACTTACATTTGGTCAGTGGAGTCTCACATGATGAGCAGGTGAAAGGAACTTCGTTTTGCTTGCAGATGAAGGAAATAAAAATTAAAAGGAAAACAGACAGAACTGGAAGCAGGAAAGCAAACGCTTGGTCGGGTTCTCGTACCTCGGATTCCATGCGGTCTCGGAGCTTCATCAGGACCACTTTCTGTGGTTTCCTTGTCAAGGAGTAGCGAGCCGGCTTATTGCTTCAGCTTGTGCTCCCGACAGCCAGCTTTTCAGGGCTAACAAATTAACTTCCTGGTAAACTGAAAGTAAACTACCGTACTTATTAAGAAGGATAGCGACACGAACAGGCAGTTACTCGAACAAAACACTAACCTTTACATTTGGCTGTCGGGTACGGGTTACAGAAGAACTCCAAGCGATGGCCGTGTTTCAGTGCAGTAGAAAATGTATCGGCTCCTATCCTCGAAAGAGCTGACAATGTGACCAAACTAAGCAGATATTTCAAATGTGGTGAATTAGAACAACTGTACAAATTACAGCAATGTGTTTCGGCCAGTGGTTCTTAACATTGTTAGAGGTGCCGAACCCTTCATTAGTCAAATTTTTTTTAAAAAAATTTATTTTTACAAATTCAAGACATTAAAAAAACACATCTATTAAAAACAGAAAAAAGTAAGCAAAATTACATGGCCTAAGTATATATATTTTATAAATTGTATGACATAATGTCACGACAGTCACACGGTGACTCCTGAGCGAACTACAGTATATTTACCGCAGTTTTTCTCTGGGTACTCTGGTTTCCTCCCACATTCCAAAAACATGCATGGCAGGCTGATTGAACACTCTAAATTGTCCCTAAGCGTGAGTGTGAGCGTGGATGGTTGTGCGTCTCTTTGTGCCCTGCGATTGGCTGGCAATCGGTTCAGGGTGTTTCCCGCCTCCTGCCCGAAGATGCCTGGGATAGGCTTCAGCACCCCCCGCGATCCTTGTGAGGATAAGCGGATCAGAAAATGGATTCATGGATGGATAAGTATATATTTATTAAGAGTATAAGTGTTGTCATTTATTCAGAGCATAAGCATTCTTCATTGCAAGCATAATCAATTTACCATTATTAATATGCAAATGTATGATAACTAAACCTAAAGTACATAATTATTCCTTCAATATAATACCGGTAAATGGGGCGTCAAAGCGTGAGAAGATGGTCATGATGACTATAATGACAGTGGCACAAACTTTGCCTGCCTTCATGACATTTTTGTATGCACAAATGTCTGCTCAAAGTCTGCACTTTAGGTAGGTCAGTAGAATCTCACATCATGACCAGATGGAAGGAAAATTTGCCTTGTTTGCAGATGCAGAAAAGAAAAATAAAAAGGAAAAATGAAGCAGCTGGAATCAGGAAAGCAAAAGCTTGGCAGGGTTCTTGTAGCTCAGATGACAAGCAGTTTCTGAGCTTTGTCAGGACCACAGTTGTTGGTTTTACTGACGTTTCGGCAAGGACCAGCAGCGACTTATTGCTTCATCTTGTGTCTCCCGACAGCTGGTGTCTTGTCCAAGGGAAGCCAAGACAATCAAAGCCTTTGTAAAATTATGAGATTTATTTTACCTTCAAAAAAATATGGAAAAGCACAATTGACAGATATGTGATGGAGACTCCCTCGAGCAGTTGGGTGCGCCCCTCTGATACCATTTTTCTCTTCTTGGGAGCGGTTCATGTCAGACCACACGGAACAGTCACTACTTTGGACAGCTACATTTACAGATAAACATGATGAAGTCTGGCACATGAGCAAGCAACTTTGCTTATCTGCAGACAACATGGTCAGCACTCACAATGGGACAAACAGTTATAACAGGGGTCGGCAACCCAAAACGTTGAAAGAGCCATATAGGACCAAAAAAAAAAAACCCCAAACAAATCTGTCTGGAGCCGCAAAATAAATAAATAAATAAAGGCCTTATAACGAAGGAAACACATGCTGTATGTACTGTACTTGATTTTCAATTGCAGTTAATGGACATTCCGGGTTCCTTTTTGACTGATGTGTGGGAGTGTGCATTTTAAAGGTCTGATGACAGAACATCAGCTAAATTTTTTATCCAGATTCATCATCATGTCATGCACACATCTTCTCATGATTTTGTCACCAATGAGCCAGGTTTTTCCTCATCACCATTACATCATAAAAAACTTGCCTCAATGAAATAGTTTAGTCACGTTGACAAAAACAACACTAGTGTGTGTGTGTGTGTGTGTGTGTGTGTGTGTGTGCATGCATGTGTGTGGGGGGGGCATGGACTGGCAACACATTTTGTCTTATGTGAACAAAAGAACAGATATGCCAAGCGCTATTTAAGTATTGCTTATACGATGATACACAAGAAGAGTAGATTTCATGGAAGGTGTGCTCTATAAACACATAACGATTTTATTTAGAGTGGGATGGACCAGATAGTTATCCAGGATTCCGATAATTTTGTTAAACTCATTTTCAAAAATGGGGGGGAAATCTTTGTGCAAAAAATAATTCATGTATTTTTCATCAACAGGACTAGTGACCGATTATCGGGTAAGAATTGGTTTTTCTTTTTCTTGAAAAGAAAAGGTCATTAAAAAGTATAAATGGACAAACGTGCTATAACATTTGATGGTGTTTTCTTTGTTTCAGCATTGGCAGATTCCCCTGGGAAGACGTTTCCGCTCCCTCAAAATGTGGTTTGTCTTTCGCATGTACGGCCTCCAAGGATTACAGGCTCATATACGCAAGGTATTCCACTAAACCCAATTAGATGTGTCATCATGATGTAGTCCTGGGGTGGCCAACCCGCGGCTCTTTGGCTGGTTCAATGCGGCTTCCGGACTTTCACACGACTCGCGTCGAAAACGCCTCGGCAGTGGCGCTGCCATTCAAATCAAGGCATTAAAGACACAGACGTACTACGTCAGCCTATCATCAATCCCGTTACATGATTGACATAGAAGGCAACCAATCAGATGACTGAATCACCGCTCATGCGCAAACAACGGCGCTAAGCGCTAAGCTAGTCAGCGAATTCCCTCTGATTTTAAGGTGGGGGGGCAATACGTCGATCGCAAGTGACCGGAAGCCAGCGGACCGCCAGGGGTAGGAGGAGGAAATGGGTGGGAAAAAAAGATTTGTGTGTTTGCGTTTTTAGCTTTCATTCATGTTCGGGCTGTTGCTCATCGTTGAGTGAGTGTATACGTGCACGAGTGCGCATGCATGCGTGCTTGTGTGCGTGCGTGCGTGCGTGTGTGTGTGTGTGCGTGTAATCTTGCACATGCGCGATCGGGTCGATTGTGGGATGTTGGTCGCTTCAAAAGTCGATCTTTGGGCAAAAAAGTGTGAGTTTTTGTGCATGTGCGCGTGTATGTGCGCCTGCGCGAGGAAGGGATGACCATTTTTGTGCTGTGGCTCTTTGCAGTAACTCAGTAAAAATTTGGCTCTTTGTCTCTGACTGGTTGGCCACCCCTGATCTAGTCCATTAAAAGTTATGGATACCTGGCGCTTAGGGACATGAAACATAATAACTTCATATCAGATGTTTGAGTTCAATTATAATAAAAACAGTACAGGATAGTGTATGTTTATGCATGAATCGAGACTGCAGCATTCTAGTACAATTAGTAGTTGTGTTGTGTTTTGCTGTGCTGTGTTGTGTTGTATTGTGCAGTCAATCCATTTATATTATGATTAAGAACTGACATTTAGGTCTTCATTCCAAATTTTGATTTTGTCCCTTGCCGTTGGAGTTGTGTCTGCTACGCTGTACTTCTAATCATGCAGTACACCAGATGTGTAATCAAAAAATAGAATGTGATTGTAGGACAATCTCAACATACAGGTACATCCATCCATTGATCCATTATCTGAACCCCTTTACCTCATGAGGATCGCGGGCGTGATGGAGCCAATCACAGCTTTCTTCGGGCAGTAGGCGGGGTACAAAACAGAGCAGGGGTGTCCAAACCCAGTCATCAGGAGCCGCTGTCCTGCCTGTTTTCCATTTCTCCTGGCTGCAAAACACCAGATTCAAATAATCAGGATTGCCCTCATGCTGCTTCGTAGCTGGTTATGAGCTGATCATTTGAATCAGGTGTGCTGCAGCAGGGAGAGATGGAAAACAGGCAGGACAGCACCCCTGAAGGACCAGAGCTGGACATGCCTGATATAGAGTGTCCAATTAACCTACCATCCATGTTTTTGGAATGTGGGAGCAAACCTGAGTACCCGGAGAAAACCCACGCACGCACTAGACAACATGCAAACTCCACAGAGGAAGGCCGGGGCAGGAATCAAACCCTGGACCTCTGCATATATATATATATA